TTCATTCCTTAAACCCATTGAGATTTTTTGCTCAGCATTGAGATGGAAAGTGTATGACTGCCTGCCACATACACAGATAACACTTCTAGCTGCCATGTAATAACGTCACACTGGATGCCTGAAGAGCCTGAAGAAAACACTCTAAAATATTTTTTTTCCATTGCAAGAGGAGATATTCTTTGTAATATGGATGAGAATTTGTGTCCCAAAAGCCAGGAACATCACGGGAGGCGTAGGAAGACTGCACAGCAATTCCAACAGCACTCCATTTAGTTTTCCTGGATGAGATTGTCGTGTGTTCCCGTTTCTACTTTACTTTTCTTGTTTTTTTGTGCTTCGCGGTGCTGTCTTTCCCATTCGTCATCACAATTACGAGGTCTGTCAACAAATTACAGCAGCAGCGTAAGTGTGAATCTTGTCTGGTCTCTTTAATTGATCTCCCACAATTACAATTTACAATAGAACTTAAGCCATGGCTTACAACAGAACATCCTTCCAGAGTAGACTGTTATATTGACAACATGACTAAGCAATTTGACTCTTATTGGTGACACAAAGATTATCATTCTAATGTCGCCGACATGTTGTTTGAGACAGAATTTTACTTTTGAGAGATGAACTAAATGTTTTGAGACCGAGACTGAGACTGGCTTTTGCAGGTAATCCATGGTGTTTTACCTGTAGTGCGAAACGTTTTGAGAAACGCACTTACTGTTTTGCAAATCTCAAGGACTGCTTCAGAAATGCACCAAATCAACTGAGAAAAACTATTATAGTCAAAACTTATTAACATTTTGATAGACAATATGGTTGCCATCCCACGGTGTCCCCATCGTAGAGCATCACCAGAAACTAATTGTGCCCATAAGCTATGCCTGACTCTGTATTAAGTATTATTAGTATTAAGCATAAAATTTTGGTTGACAAAGTTTGGGAGTAAATTAAAGGACTAATTGACAGATTTTCAATGATTCATTGCTAGATAGATAGATCGATAGAACGATAGACAGACAGACGGACGGACGGACGGACGGACGGACGGACGGATGGATGGATGGATGGATGGACGGATGGACGGATGGATGGATGGATGGATGGACGGATGGATGGATGGATGGATGGATCGATGGATCGATGGGATCAGGACGACTAAACAGCAGGTTTCATTACCACTAAGGATTTAACATCGCATGCTGTAGCTATAGGGAGCGATGGCCTGGGTGAACTTACGAGTGTACTTTATGTCAGTGTAACACCTCACTGAGAAATATTTAATTAGCCTATTTGGTGCATGGTTGAGGACCCCAGAAATTAAAGCCATTAACCGCGGTAAAGGTGTCACCGGGGGCTCAGACAATCACTAGACAGAATTATGGTTATGGTATTCACTTTTCATCAGCGCAAGTGTTCTGAATATGCAATCTAGGAGACTATAGATTCTCAATTATGTACAGGTTAAGAGATTTAATTTGTTCTATGACAATGATTTCTCTACTGTGCCACCAGTTGCAGCCGCTGCTGCCCTGCTGAACGTTTCTGTGCAAGTCTCTGCGCACATACAGGTCCAAACATTTGATCTACTGTCACGTTATTAAAAACGTTGAAATAGAGGATTAAGCTAACATTTGAGAAGCTTTTGCCAAAACGTATTTATTTTGTATATGTAAGAAGTATTTTTGAAATATGACCACCCACAAATGTCATAGATGTCTTTTAGTGTATCCTATCCTAATTAGCATATTTTGTGGTATGCCAGATATATAGAGGGGGTTTTCGAGGGGGGAAAGTTACCCAAAACAATCCCTGTTGGGAAAACAAAGCTGCTTAAAATATGATTATACTGTGTTTATCCTGTGTCAAGGTTGTTAGAAGCTTGACACAGCTTCTAACAACCTTTTTTTAATTAAAAAAATAAGTTACAATCACATAAAATCCAAGCACTGTCCTTAGAAAACATGAAGGGTTTAAAGTGGTGCCTTGGTACACTTACCAAAAATAATAATAGTAACAGCTAACTAATAATGCACAATCTTATATTTACCAAACAGACCACGTGCGTATCTTCTACTTATGAAGTGCAGTCTGCAAACTCTGGTCCTTTCATTTCACTCTGCATTGTTTACAGCAACATAGGGCACCGGGCCCATAAATCTTCTCCTTGCTCTGCAAAGACAGCGCCATTTGTATGCACCGTTTTAACCGACAGCATCCTCTACCCATTAACGTCTTCTCCCCAGCTCTCTTTCAGTCTCCTCTTATCTACACAGCTATGTCCCCTGGACATGCATTAAGTGATCCGTATTTTCCTTAAGCTCTCGAAAACAATTATGCTTTTTCTGTTTTTATTGCAAATAATATTTCATGGATGCATATTTTATAGAGGAAGAAAAGGGGGAGCAAAAACAAACAACAAAACAAAAACAAAAACAATCTTGGCTCGCAGCCGCCAGATTTCTCTCCTGCTTGTGCGCAGCCGCAGCTCGTGTACGGTTCTCTCTCTGTATACGTTATTTGTATGAAAAATAAAAGTTTATCGACAATTTCCTCGCTTGTTTGTGTCAGCGGGCGCGGGAGCGCAGAAGGTAAGGAGGAATTGTAAAAGGGTTGACACCCAAGAGCGACCGGCGCGCTTTTGTGTGAGAGAGAAAAATGATTTATAGGCGCTGAGGCGGTTCAAACAGAGTTCACGGAGAATTGTGGTGGAGGCGCGGAGGAGCTAAATTATGGTCTTGCTGAGCTAGTATATCATAGATTCTATCTCCAAATTCAGAGAGAGTGCGTTCAAGGGTGCGAGGAAAGGAAAACACAATGAATTTAATTACTTGTCCTCTCATCTCACCCAGTACCACACCTAAGATTAATAATAATAATAATAATAATAATAATAATAATAATAATAATAATAATAATAATAATAATAATAATAATAATAATAATTTATTTATCAGTATATGATCAATGATGTAAAAATATACACAAACAAGTTTGAAAGTATTACTTTTCTCAAATTCTTTAAACAAAAATTGAAGCATTACTGAATAATAACAGCTATACTAAACAGATATCAAACTTTATGTGTGATAAAACAATGGATCTATTTTTTTTCTGTGATTCCCTCCAAAAAAAAAAAAATGTCTAGCTGTCGTGACTTAAAACACTTCGAAGTTGCAGGTAAAGCCCTCATAATGATGGCAGCAAGGGTGACGCGTAAAACAAAAAGAAGAGAAAAAATAAAAACGAGGAGGAAGGCTCCTCTCCTTACAAGCTTTGCAGCCCTGAGTGCCTAATCCATCACCTCTGAGACATCTAACGAGGGCTTTCTAGACAGCTTTGTTGCAGTGAAACACCAGCAGGAACTTAGGGTACATTTGAAGCTTGCTTCAACCAAGATTGATTCAGGGCCCACTACGCGCACAGGCCCTTTTATTGGACGTTTACTCTTTGTAGAATTTGTGCAAAATTCAATGTTTTACTTGTACACACGTTCTTGCATGTGTTTGTGTTTCGTTGAAATCATGAAAAAAATAAAAAAAAAAATAAAAAATACACATTTGTGAGTTTCCGATCCTCTTTATTTCGACCACAATTGCTGGAACTTTTAGTACAGAATAAATGTACACCCAAAACGTAATTTACATCTTCTTAAAATTAACTCCCAACTTCCATATTTTATGGTAGCAGATTTGCAGTTGGCCTGTGTTTTCTGCAAACAGGCACGCCTTGGATATATATTCTCAATCTCTCCTCCATTTTCCAATTCAGCGGTGCAGCAAAGAAAGGGGGGGATTAAATGTAAAATAAATAAATAGAACTGTTACTTGACAAAAACTGAAATTGCACAATGAAGTCAGAAAAAAATGTAAATGAGTCGTCCTGCAGGGGGGAAAAAAAAGAGAGAGAAAACCTTTAATGATAGCCTCCTTTGTCTTTGTGCAGCAATGACTGTCACAAGCCTTTTGTTTGACCACTCCCATTGAATCCTAATAAGCTGCACTTGCACTCGGACAGTTAGAAGCATATGTTATGAAAAGGGAAAAGCCCGCCAATTCATAACGAGAAGTAACATTTTGCTGCGGATTTGAAAAAAAGAATATATATATAAAATAAAAAATCTAAAATAAAGTGGAGACTAAATCCCTCTACCTTTTGGTGCCAGCATTAAAAGAAGCAGAAAAAACATTTGTCATTGTGTTTGTCTGAGAGAGGGGCGGGGGAGCAGCGCACACTGAACTTTAATGTCTCTTATTTCTAGCCGCGTAATAAGGTGCGAATGAAACAGTAACCGCGTATTATTGCATCATCCTGATGTTGTGAGTTCTCGTAGCTTAAACCTACCACAGGGTGTTCAGCAGCGAGACGCGCCTCTCCCAGTTTATCCTGGAGAATTTACCATAAAAACAGAAATCTTTACGCTCGGTTTGAAATAACAACTCTCCTCAGCACACGTGTGTAATCTTTGTTTGTCTCCCCCCTGTCTCCGTTTGAACGCATCCAGCTCTTGCTTTCATCTTGGCGTCTTTTATGTCCCGTTATCTGATTCTTTTTTTTTTTTTTTTTTTTTTTTTTCTCCTTTTTTTCAGATCCCTAGATAAGGAGAAGCCGGACTTCGTGCAGAAAATGTCTGAAGAAATATCTCAAAAGCTTCTTCGGGCACCCCAAGTTCCCACCAGGATTAGTTTCCAACTCCAGAGCTCTGCCATTGGAGGACTGGCACACGTGACCAAGGTACCCCCCTCTGGTAAATATTATTCAAAGCGTTCCTCTCAGTTTCCAGCCCCAAATGCTCTGTCCTGCCTTCCTTTATTCATTCAGTTAATTGTGATCTGATATTAGACAGATAGAAGACCTCTGCTTTGTTACTGCTGAGGGACTTCTGAGTTTGATTTGAGCCACTTTGATGAGCTGCGGGGTCCATGGACCCCCAACAGTCTGCGGCCCTCCCTCTGCAGCTGCATGGCAACAGTTTTGAAATGAGCTCTGGACTAGTGCCAAAACCTAGCATGAAATGTGTTGAAGTAGCAAGGGAAGGAAGAGTAGGAGGAGGCCCTGACTTGGGACCCGATCAGCCAAACCTGACCTCTACTGTGCCCTTCAGTTCCAGGTTGAACCCACGTGAACTTTCCGAGTGCCCTCTGGAACCTGTGTTTTCCAGCCATGCCAAAGACAAGCTGGACCCGAATAGCAGAGGATGTAGTCTCAGCATCTGCCACTCTGGGGGGATTTTCCCCTGGATGAAGTCAAGGAAAATTGGCTCTAAACAGTCAAGTAAGTATTTTTCTTTCATATGTTTTAAAGCTGCAAATATTAGGAAAATGTGACATGTCCCTACCACTTTCCTGAGTTTTCTTTAGACTAATTATTATGAAGAAACTAATTATAGCATTGGAAAGCAAAGTTTAGAACTTCAACGTGCATAACTGTGTTTCTAAAGACTGACACAGGTGGCCTTGTCGGACCACTGGTTTAGTCAAAGCAAACACTTTGTCCATGCCTGTGGTGGCCAATATTTCATTCTTGTTAGAATGTTTTTTTTTTTTTTTTTTTTTTTTTTTTTTTTTTTTTTTTTTTTTTTTTATTTTTTTTTTTTTTTTTAAAAAACAAAAAAAAATAAAAAAAATTTTTA